AAAAAAAAAAAAAAAAAAAAATCAATCCATCAATCATTCAATCAATCAGTCAATCAATGAATCAATCAATAGACTGTGTCATTGATTGGTTGATTGGTTGATTGATTGATTGATTGATTGATTGATTCATCCGGGATGCCTGAGGGCGTAGGGGAGGTGAGGGCGAAGGTGGTTCATCGGAGGTGAAGGCCACGTTCGTGGCTAACATTGGACAGTGTCGGTGAAGAGGACACGTGCATGGTGGAGGTAGAAGTGGGCATTGGTGTTCACATAATCACTCGCTGGTAGTTAAGTTGTGTGGTTGCTTTTATTACTGTAGTTGTAGGTTTAGGGTGTAGAGTACATAGGGTGCCTTGCGCCGTTCACAAGAGAGAGCTACATTGGGTTGTGTTGTTGGTGTTGGTAGTCAAGTTGGTGTTGGTAGAAGTTGGTGTTGGTAGAAGTCGGCATTGGTAGTCAAGTTGTCTGGTTGTTTTCATTACTGTAGTCGTAGGTTTAGGCTGTAGAGTAGATAGGGCGCCTTGCGTCGTTCACAAGAGAGATCTACATTGGGTTGTGCTGTTGGTGTTGCCCTGTTCGCCCGACCTTGACTCACGATTTTTCTGTATCATTCTCAAATGGGTGCTTGCTCGGTTCCATCGTGCTATCTGCTCTGGCGTTGACTACTTTGACTTCATTGTGATTTTGCAATATGGGTTTCTGTGCTTCGTCCATATTCATGTTCCTTGCATCAATCAATCAATCAATCAATCAATCAATCAATCAATCAATCAATCAATCATCTGAGTCAATCAATGAACTGTTTGATTGATTGGTTGATTGTTTGATTCTTTGATTGATTGATTGATTGATTGATCTGTGTGCCTGTGTCTGCTCTCTCTCTCTCTGTCTCTCTCTCTCTCTCTCTCACACACACACACACACACACACACACACACACATACACTCACACACACACATTTCCGTTGACTGAATATATATATATATATATATATATATATATATATATATATATTTATATATAGCCTACTCCTTACTTCGTGCTTGTTTGACCCTCAGTGCTGTGCAGACCCTGACATTGACAATGTCACCGACAGGCGGAGATGCTGTCCCCGCTCGATCATCGCCCATTGCGGGATCTCCGCAGGGGACGCCCGATCCTCGCCAAAGCGTCGATCGATCTCCTTGTGCAGCGCGTGGGTTGTTGGGTGTTTCACCGCACAGCGGTGGTCCGGAGGTCCGGTTGGGGAAACGACGCCGCGGTACCGTTTCGCATGCAACTGACAGCGTCGTTGGCCCGGGCGTGACACCCATTTCGCCTTTCGCTGGTGTGTTGGGGGCTTCTCCGCCGGGTGTGGCCGGGGTTCGTGAGGCGGCCACGTATGGATGTGTGTATGGTGGTCCATTGCTGCCATCCCCACTGCTGCCTAGAAGGCTGGACTATGCGGCCACGATTCCTTTAGCACCTATATGGTCACATGTGGTGGCCCCGCCATGTCCCGCTGGAGGCGGTTCTCTTTCAGGAGATCGCAGTGATGCTTGGCGTTGTCCAACCGTTTCATGTCCAAGAGTCGTGGGCGCGGCTGCGGGTTCGTTTGCGGTGCCGCCTCAGGCTCCCTATGTCGCTCCTGATTCCACACCTCCGTTTGACGATGTGGATAGCTCTGCGGCAGTCGGCGGCACGCCGTGTTCGGGCGGCAACAACATCGTGCGAGTGTGTGTGTGGGACGCGTGTCGGAGACGGTTGTACGCTCTCCGGAACGCTATGGCCGGTGTGGGTGACCATCGCGGACCGGTCAGCAACGTTATTGATCGACTGCTCCACTGGTCCTTGCCAGCCATCCGTGCGGATATTGGAGACGAGGTAGCAGATGTGATTTCTTCTTCGTTGCCATCTCGGGTGTGCGGTCGAGATTTCACGTTGCGTTATATGCCAGGCGATTCCGGTGTTGACTACGGTCAGGCGGGTTCGCAGGGTTCAGCGAGCGGAGGGTTGGGGGAGTCTCATGACGGATCACAGAACTCGTTCCCGTCATCGTGTCGCGCATTGCAGCGCAGTGACAGAGGGCGCGACAGAACCCGTAGCGCAGGTCGCTGCACACCGACACGTGCCCGGCCGCAGACGTGGTGGGATAGTTGGGACGGTGTTGACCAGTGCGTTCCTGGGCCTGAAATTGACCGTGCCAGTGTTGAGGAGGCGATGGCGTTGTGGAGTGGACCGACGGCGCCGGATGTTGTGTTTTTGGAGCCAGTCAAGCTTCTTCAATTGCTGGCCATGTTTCATCTATATTGCCCGTGGCACAAGGGCTCGTGCCGTGTGTCTGTGGAGTCTGTCTCCTATCCTGCACAACTCTGTAAGCTGACGTTCGTATGCGGCAAGAAATGCAAATGGACGTGGCACACGGCACTCGTGACCACGAACGTCTATCGGTCGCGACTGATGCAGCAACTCTTTCATGCGACGGTCGTCGCGGGCCTTACATTCACGCTCCTCGACAACTTTTATGTTTGCTTAGGGATGTGCTCGGTGCACAAACCCACATTCTACAAGTTTATGCGCACAGATTCAGGGGGGTCGGAGGGGTGGAATGCCAAGGTCGTACGGCAGGGCATAAAATATTGCGAGCTTGCCATTGACAGTGTGATGCGCAGTGGTGAGCCAGTGACATTGATGGTTGATGGTTGGTATGACTCTGCCAGAGGCGCGCAACATTGCACTGTCACCACAATGGAGTACGAGACTCGGCTTGTTGTAGGTGTTCACACTCTCCGTTCGAAGATTGAAGGCAAGGCATCGAATGCGCTTGAGGTGCCAGCCGTCGTGCAACTTTTGCGAGGGCTGATGGACAAGGGGTTGAAGATCCGGTGCGTTGTCTCGGATGATTGTGCAGCGCTGGGACCAAAGTTGCGAGCTATGAACATTGAGTGGCAGAAGGATTGCCACCACAAAATAAAAAACATTCACAAGCAGTTCCACAATATGCTGCAATTGAAGGAAGCGAAGAAAGTGAGCAGCCCGCACGACTGTGTATCAGAGGCGCAGTTTATGTTGTTCACGAAGAAGCGACTAAAGGAGGCGTTGGAGCAGCGTTTCGGACCTGACGTCCTCACACCTGCTGAGGAGCGGATAAAAAAATCGGATTTCGTCGCTGTTGTCATGCGAAAGATGTACCCCTACGGATCGAGGTTGAATGCTCGAGCGTTGGAGACTGATCCTGACGGCTTGACAGAGTATCATGCGCATGAGGTTGGGATGTGGTTCCTCCGCGCTTGCCAGCTGTGCACGGAGGAGGGCGGAGACGCCGACAGTCTACACCGCGACATCTTGTTGGTCGTCGATCATTGGGCTGGTGATCATTCGGGATGTGTCGACGATAGGGAGGTTCTATGCGAGAAGGCCGGTGGGCGTGCACGATTGCCTTTGTATAGCCGCACGGACACGGTCTACGAGCTCGTTCTACGTGTTCTCAATAAACAATGCAGCACTAACATCACGCCGTACTACGTCGAGTTTCGGCACACATCGGCGGTGGAGACTTTTCAGGGCACCATCATTATCTATGCGAAGAAGTCGGTGCATTTCGAGAAGTCTTTCTGTGCACGTTTGTCGATCGCAGTGATTCAGTGGAACAGTCACTGCTGGCGCGACCCGGTCGGGTATGTTGCTCGCATTGCTGCGGGCACTTCCATACCTGCGAGACCAGGCTTCCGTCGACACTACGGTCACGAGGCGATCGACTGTTGGGAGGACAAATTGGCGGCGTCAGTGTTCGGTTCGGCTCATGTTTGAGACTGAGCTCGAGAGCTTCTGCGGCAGGAGGTCTGTCCTTATGGAGCCGGACCATTACCGCGTGATTTGTTCGTCAACGGTGGGGGCGACCCAGTGGAAGTCGTTGATGATGCTGCCTCAGGTTCCAACCATGAGGCAGTGGCGGAGAACCGTGTTTTCATCATCGGTCACGTGGAGGACGATGCGGTGCCTGCATACGATGATCGGGTCTAGACATCGAGCTCCGAATCTGAGGGTGACGATATAGAGTTGTTCAACGTTTGACTGGTTGAATGGCTTTATCGTTGACCTCACATCGGTCTGGTGATCCGAATTTCATTGAGCATGGCGTTCTTCACACACATCTCTTGGTGTCTTGCTTGTTACGCTACATTATGTCATATATATATATATATATATACTTTGTCCGTGTCTTTACCCGTATATATATATCTATTTTTGCTCAGTCTGACTTCCAAGACTGATGGCGAGGTTGTATACTACCTCGTAGGGTTACATTTTTAATTTTGTTCGACTGAGGGCTAACCGTGAGACGAAACTGTGAGGAAAATCCGTGATGGCCATATCTGTTAATATGGGAAATATAGACCCAGCAGTAATTCGAATTTCCTATACGTACCCTTGCTGCGAATAGCAGGCCCGGACTACCCCCACGACAGACAGGCCATAATGGCCTAAGCTGATAGAAGGTTCTATAGCCTATAGTCGGGTCCGGTAGAGGCCGAGAGACCGAAACTGCAACGGTGTTGGTTGGTTAGTCAGTCCGGTATAGGTGTAGGTTAGATTAATGTACTCTATTAGTAGAATGAGGGAAATCGATTGGGGAGCAAGGGACTGAAACAAACTCTGTTATGATATTCGTTGGAGTTGGCTCATCATCAACATCATATGAATTCTGATCTTGCTGAGGTTCTTTATTGTGATTGTTTGTTGGGAGTCTGTCGGAGAGTGAGAGTCATTGTCTGACCTCCCCCATGTGTGCATGATTGAATTCCGCTGCTTATCCTTGTCTGTGTGCAGTTTTGACTCTGTCACCTCTCCCCCTCTTCTTATGCATGTGTGCGCGTGTTTGAGATTGTCTGTGTGTGAGTGCCGAAAAAAAATCGTCAGACAACCAAGTGATATATATATTCACACATCTGATGGTATCTTATGTAAGTTTTTTGAACTTGAGTGGCGAGAGCGAGGATTAGAATCGTTTTTTTGACACATCTAATGGTACAATGATATACAATTGCAAAAAGAAATAAATGAACTTCAAATGAGAGATCGAGGATTATAAGAAGAAGATGATGATGTACACCAGGGAAATCAAATTTTACATAATGCAATCCCTGCAAGTCACGACAATAGAAAATGTCAGTTTCAAGGCAAACACACAGTCGGACTTACATACGTAGTCACACTGAAGGCAAGCATACTCTCTCTCTCTCTCTCTCTCTCTCTCTCTCTCTCTCTCTCTCTCTCTATCTATCTATCTATCTATCTATCTATCTATCTATCTATCTATCTTTCTATCTATCTATCTATCTCTCGTGTCGTGAAGCATTTACCGCCGTGCACGTCGACGTGGGCGCGCGCTTTTAGGAGGATCACATTGTCGTAGTTCAAAACCTCGAATGATTGTATCTGGCCATCGTTCCCTCATTGCCGTTTGGAACTCATCTGGCAATCTTTGTCGGAAAACGACGAACCCGCACAACCGAGAAAAAGCAACATATCCATTGTAACGATTTTGCTTTGGTTCGAGATTTGCACGACCAATAAGCAGATCCATGCACTGCTGCAGATGCTCCTCCAGCCCAGCAAAAGTCACAACCTCCTCCAAAAGCGCTGCGGGTCCCGGCCACCGACTCCTAATCTCGGCGACTGTCAGCTCCTCGTCGCGGAAATGATCTGTATTTGTCCCATTTCCAAACACGACTGCTTCGGTTCGCACGCCAGCCCTGCGTCGTCGGCGGTCCATGTATGGGAATGGGTGAATATTGTTCTGTCGCTTATATGTGAATTTTTAGAAATCTACAAAACACAACATCACGGCCACCGATGACCTTAGTACTGTACCTCCACATAACGAAAACGAAAACAAATTTTACAACGCAAAGCAGGTGAATAAAAAAAACTCAAAACATATAACAAACACATGGGAGATGACGATTGCATATGTATACACAAAATGTACAATCTTTGAAACCATCATTTTATCTCTCTCCAACAACGAAGAAACATAGGAAAAAAAAAACGAATGGTACTCATCGCTGGATCGCACTGCAAGGATAAAACATGGCAGAGAAATCCTCGCCATCAGAGACAAAATAGGGCGGTGACACGACCAGGCGCCAGACGCCGTCCCAAGCGACCGTCTCGTAGTGTGTGTATAGTATGCGATGCACAAGGGGGAAGACGATATTATACATCAAATCACCGTCGACCGGTTTGAGAACAAAGGTGCTGAAGTACGTGGTCGGCTTAGACATTAGGACACGAATGTGTTCGATGGCGTGGTCACGAATATAAGTCTCTGTAGTGAGCCTAACGACTCGTTCCTCCTCGACGCTGACAACGAAATGACGATCCACCTTCTTGTCTCCATTGCGGTATCCCACTGCATCGCCGACAGGAWCTGTTATGGGAGTCATTGATTCGTAATAGTATACGGTGTCGCCGCCTGTCAGTTTTGTGGTGTGGTAACATCGGAAAATCATTGGCGCGCAATGCATCGTCGGTTCTTTCGTATGGCGTTTGAAAAGTGCTGCATTTCACAGAAACCAACACCACAAGTTATGAACCCAACGATCGAGTAACGAATAACGCAAATGTTGACCCTGTGTACATATATATGGGATGAGCAGGTAGTCGCGATCTTGAACACTGTCGAATGTTGAAAACCTTTACGATATTGTTCGTCAACCCACCTGTTTCAGACTACGCATGAGACGAGCGGGATGATGGTTTGTTGAAACTTTGGCACTGTTGTCCGCTACCTTCTATTGGCAACACAGTGCGCATATCTCCGTTGAGATAACTACGGCGTTGCAGCGGCCGGTCGAGTTTGGAGAAATACCATGCGTTGCGTGCTAACCTTTCCACATGCTCAAACGCAACGACTGACACAATGAACCTTAGCAAATGACCAATCATATCGAAGTCGGGGGGTTCGCAGACGTCGGGAACGACATCCGAAAGCTTTTTTGCGTGCATTACAACCTCATCAAGGCAATCATGGTCGTCGTACCCCAGCCCCGCCACGACCCTCAAAGCGAGGGTGTCATCGACGAACGCGTAGTACACACGTGTTTTCGTGGCGGCAACCCCTTCCCAGTGTTCACAGTCTCTTTCGTTTTCAGTTTCGCGCTCACACACTGTCTCTCTCACGACGATTTGGTTGTTTGATTGATTGATTGATTGATTGATTGATTGGTGTGTGTGTGTGTGTGTGTGCGTGATTGATCTGTGGGCGGTTGGTGGTGTGCGTGAGTCCACCACTACTACTACTACTACTACTGGCGTGCTGCAACTGTATGTCCCCCACTTCGTGAATTGTATGCACCCCACTACTACTACTACTACCGAGAGAGAGTGTGAGAGAGAGAGAGAGAGAGAGAGAGAGAGAGAGAGAACACACACACACGCATACAGATCAATCAATCAATCAATCAATCAATCAATCAATCAACCAATCAATCAATCAGTTGATTGATTGATTGATTGATTGATTGATTGATTGATTGATATGTGTGCGTGTGTGTGCGTGATCTCCACATTTGCAGAGATTCGAGACTCGGTGCACTCCAACCAACTGGCTTGCTGCATCTGTATGCACCCCACTTCGAGAAATGTTTGCACAGAGGGCTGTTGTTGATTTGCTGGTCCGCCTTCACTTAGGTCGGGCACATGCTTGCTGACAATAGTGTGTGTGTGTGTGTGTGTGTGTGTGTGTGTGTGTGTGTGTGTGAGATTGGTTGGTTGATTGATTGATTGATTGATTGATTGA